TTTTTTGATTCGACCTAACATTCCATTTGCATTATTTGTTACAGACATAACTTGATCTTTCCACTTGAGATTATTTGAAAATATTACACCTAGATCATTTACGCTGTTTGATTCTGGTAACTTTATGCAATTAATATTTGGGGTTTTTTGTTGTTGTTTACTCCATAGTGCATTACTATGCATTTATCAACATTGAACTTTAAAAGCCAGTCTTCTGTCCATTTAAATGGTACGTCCAAATCTCTCTGCAAACTTGAGGCACACTCGTCTAAAGGTATCATCAGCAAACAATTTGGCTTTATTTATTAATTTAATCGGCAGATAATTAATGTATATAATAAACATCAACGGTCCAATAACAGAGCCCTGTGGCACGCCACTAAATATTTTAACCTACTCAGAAACAAATTCACGAAGAACTATTATTTGCCTTCTATTATTTAGAAAAGCTTCTATCCATTTTAGAGCTAAGCTATTAATACCATATGCATTTAATTTAGCAAAGAGTCTCTTATGAGGAACACTATCAAAAGCTTTAGCAAAGTCTAGCATTGCTAGATCAACAGATTAACCATTGCTGTTGCACGAGGAAATAAAGTCAAGAGTTTCTAGCAAATTTGTGGTACAAGATTTGCCTTTTACAAAACCATACTGTTGGATTGTTAATAAATTATTTTGGTAAAGATGTTTTTCAATTATTTCTCTTAGAATAGATTCTAATATTTTGCAAGGAATAGAAGTTAATGAAATAGAGCGATAATTGCTGGCCACTGTTTTGTCACCTTTTTTATGTATTGGTGTTACATTTGCTGACTTGAATTGTATTGATAGTTGACTGGTTTTAAGCGATTCTCTAAATATAAGAGTTAGGGGTAAAGTAAACGATATAGCACATTTCTAGAGAACTATTGAACAAAGTTTATCAGGTCCAGGTGATTTATTTTCTTTTAGTGAGTTAAGTTTAGATAAAACTAACTCAAAGCTAATATCATCTGGTTCAATATCTTCAAATTTATATGCATCATTTAATTCGAGATGAAACGGTGGAAGATTTCTTTTTTCTTCAATAGTGAAGACATCCTGAAAATGTTTATTTAGACAGTTTACTATTTTATTTGGTTCATGGGATAAATCATCATTAGGCATTCTTATGGCCTTTATTGGATCTTTTATTGAATTTGTACTGTTTAAATACTTGTATAGAAGTTTAGGATTAAGTTTAGACCTTAACGCAAGATTTTTTTCAAATAAAACTTGAGCATTGTATATTTCTGTTTTTAATAATTTGCATAGCTGCTTATATTCTTTAATCAGTTTAACATCATTCCATCTGTGAGAACAATTTATGTATCTAAAATTTCTTTTTCTTCATATTAATTGCTTGATTTCATTATTAATCCAAGAAGTTGTTGAGCTTTTGATTTGTGAAATTTCTATGGTTGGAACAAACAAATTGGATGCTTAAGTGGTATAGTTAATTAATTCGTCGTATATGTCTTGCACTGTCTTGTTTTCGTACAACTTCACCCACTCGATATTGGACATAAAATCAGAAATTTTATCAAATTTAGCTTTGCTATACAAAAATTTAAAGTAACTACAAACTAATCTTTTAACACAATTTTTTAGGACAAATTTAAAGTAAATAATCAGATGACCTTTGTTTATGTCACCAAGCACAAAACCTGGGTCGACAGCACATACACTACCAGATTCTGTTGTGAATATTAAATCTAAAACATTTAAGGGTAAGCCATTAGTCAATTGAAAAGTTGGTATGTTTATATGTTGATAGAGAAAAATATAACTTAAAGTCTTATAGAATTCATGTTCTATGCCACTTTCATTTGAAATTGATGCTATACTACCGTTTGACCATTTAATGGCTGGGAAATTGAAATCTTCCATAATTAGTACATCTTTAAAGGCATTAACATCAACATATCTTCTTACTATCTTAAAAATATTGTCAAGTGCTACCATATCAACAGGATAATTTGGTCTGTATAGACAACCAACCGGGTGTTTATCTTGGCCAAAATAAACTTCTGCCCAAACTTGTTCAATTTTGCTATACTAAAATCAGTGTCGACCAGCTCATACGAGTCAATTGAATTGTTTATATATAAGCAAACACCGCCGCCTCTACTACCAATTCTATCATATATTGTAGTATAGTGAGTTTATTATTATTTTTTTTACTAATTGATTTGTAAAAAATAAATATTTTATCCATAAAATGAAAAAAATTAATCTTGTATAAAATGAAAAAAAAAAAAAAAAATGAATAATATGGATATAATAAGGACAAAATGGAATATGGAATATATGGAATATAGAATATGGAAAATGGAATATGGAATATGGAATATGGAATGTGGAGTAATGGAATATGGAATATGTGGAATATGGAATGTGGAATATGAAGGGTAAAATGAAAAAAAATTGATCCAACTCAATTTTTTTGATTTGTGGAGATAGAACAAAATAATTCTAACCTCGCGTAACGTCAAATAGGCTTTGACAAATACGTTTGATCTGCGTTGACAAATACGTTTGATCTGCGACAAATACGTTTGACAATACAATTGACAAATACGTTTGATCTGCGTTAAGAAAGGAATTTTTTTAAATTATCATTAAATGTGTTTAACCTTCTCTTCTTACTATTCATTTTTTGAATTTGATGTATAAATAGTTATAAAACCTTAAATTACTTTTTTATGAACACTTATTTTTATAAATATTAAAATAAATCGCAGCGTTATTTATAGGAATAAAAGCGTTATTTATAGGAATAGGAATTTTAAAAACTTTTTTTTTAAATGTTTACGGGAATTTAATTCATTTAGTTTCGTGTTTTAAAGTTAAATTTATTGGAATTTTATTAATTTTGTTTTTGAACTTTATTTTAGAGAATTCATTTATTTTTAATAAACACTTTTATAAATTTAAAAAACTAAAATATAAAATTGAGCTTTCTAGTTTTCGAAGATGCAAAACAATCAATGATCTTTTTGACATTTATGATGCAAACTCTATGGATATGCATCATAACTAAGCAATTTAATTGTTCTGGTATACTCCTATATTAGATCTTAACCAAGTTTTAAGTCTTTTTAAAACCGAGTAATTCCGTTTTTCCGAAACAACGCTGACAGGATTGTTACAAAGAAATTGCAAAATACATTTAATTAAAGGGAAGACATTACCAACACATTGCTTGTATGCTTCCAGCACACATTCAGGTACATCTTGTTGCTTTTTGGTTGCGTCTTTCCATTTCAGGGACGACGACACGGGTATCGAAGTGGAGGGACACAATCGTCAAAGTTTAACTAAAGTCCTTTCTATCTATTATTTTCTTTAAAAATAAAAAAAAAGGTCTTTTAGAAAAAGTGTTCCCGGCCCCCCAGTGTCGTCGGCTCTGCATTTTAGCTCCCGATATTCAAACTCTGAAAAAACTTTCGTTATTTGGACATTCTAATTAACAGTATTTATGTTGGGCCGTCCTTTCATAAAACTGAGTATATTAGTTATGGTTGCCCAGAGTGACGAATCTTACAAATCTTGTTAAGATTTCCTAATAAGATTCTTAGTAAGATTAGTAAGATTTGCAAAACGTGCAAGAAAACTAGTAAGATCTAATTAAGATTTGAAAGTTTTCGTGCGATTTACTAATAAGATTTGTAAGAAATGTAAGATCTTATTAAGATTTGTAAGTTTACGTGCAGTTTCTTATTAAGATTTGTAAGAGATGTAAGATCTTAATAAGATTAGTAAGATTTATCTTAATTTCATTGTAAGATTTCCAAGTTATAGTATGAATTCTTAGTAATATATATATATATATATATATATATATATATATATATATATATATATATATATATATATATATATATATATATATATTATATATATATATATATATATATATTTATATATATATATATATATATATATATATATATTTATATATATATATATATATATATATATATATATATATATATATATATATATAAATATATATATATATATACATATATATATATATATATATATATATATATATATATATATATATAGGGGAAAGCGGGGCAACATGGCGAATACTATATATATATATATATATATATATATATATATATATATATATATATATATATATATATATATATATATATATATATATATATATATATATATATATACAAAATCCTAATAAATATGAACAAGAAATTAAAAAAAAGGAAAATACTTTTTCAATGCCAAAGAGAACCGTTATGCGTCAAGAAATAAAAAAAATATTGACAAAAGTTTATACAATTGAAAGAAATAAAGACAAAGAAAATGAACTCAAAGAAAAAGAAGCTGTAGATTCTATTAGCAATTCCCAAATACTTACTCCTACATTTCTATCGCTGAAAAAAGAATTGGAAAATCATATACAGAAAGACAAGAAAAGCTGGACAGAAAATGTAAAGGAGATACCAAATTAAGATTCTTTAGACTTTGATAGATTATTGAAGCAGGAAATGTCTACCTATGAAAATAATGGAGTAAGAGGCAAGTTTCTAGATATAGCTCATAATTACTTGATGACCATATCACCAACAAGTGTAGAGGCCAAGCGAGTTTTTTCAGCTGCTGGCTATATATGCAATCCTTTGAGGAGTAGATTATGTGATGATACTTTAAGTAGGGTCTGTTTGTTAAGAGAGCATTTCTTACAATGATACTTTTTCATACTTATTTTTAAAAATAAGTAAAGCTAAAAGAGGCTCTACGTAAAGCTAAAAGACGTTTTACGTATTTTTATCTTATCCTTTTGTTCATTAAATTAAGAGTTATATTGATTTACAAATGAATTGTGTTTTTGGCTTCATTTACCTCATCTTATCACTTTAATAAGTTGAGTATATTTTTTCTGAAATAATTGAAAGGAAAATAAAATTATCATTTTGCCTTTTATAACGTGCATAAGAAATCTAGACCAGTAGCCGCATACTATAGTTACAAAAAATAAAGTTAACGGGTCATTTCAGAAACAACATAAATAAAAAACCGGGTTTTTGTACAACTTGATTTCACAACATATATAATACGTTAGTTAATCCTAGTAGAAACAAACTAAACATTGTCAGAAATTATGGTTTACACATCACTGTTACATTTCAAATAAACAAGAGACGATAACATCTCATCCCAGTCTAGCACGATTCGGTCGCATAATTAAACCTCCCTGGCTGAACACGCGCTCCACTGGTGCAAAAGAAGCTGGAATACAGAAAAGCTTCTCTATCAGAGGATTCATAATATTGTAATATTCAGCAAATTGAGCTTTCACCCATGCCTCTTCTCCATAAGTACTTGATGCAATCGAAACCATTTTTTCTATGAAAGCTGTAGCAATAGTGGTTGGTGACAATGGAACAATATTTTGTTGTCTCATTTCAATTCTCTGACGACGTTTTGTGTATGAAGCAAAAAGCGTTAAATTACGCTTGCATGAAAGAGTCACATCACTACTAGCACCACCATTTTGGTCCAGCTGTTCTTGAGGTTCCTCCTTTTCTACTGTTGGGGGCAATAAATTTTGAGTAGAAGGTACCAATAGATCTTGAGTGGTTTGCAACTTTACTATAATGGCCGAAACCTCTGCTGTTATAAGAGCTGAAAAATCAATATTTTCAACGTAAAGCATAAAAACAAAACAATGAAAATTTAAAACTGACAAGTTGTAACAGAATTATTAGAATATAATTATATTTATAATAATTTTGTTATAATCAACAAACCACCGTTAATTTTTTATCCATTCGACAACAACTTAATAGTTCAATAAAAATACACAAAAATAAAACTTTTTTAACTTACTCGCAATATGTTCACGAACAAATCTTTTGACATCATCTGGTCCAGGATGGTCTTCCTCTAGCCAAAGTAACGAATAACTGAGATCTAAGGCTAAGGCCATTAGGTAAAGCATTGAAGAAAAATTTAGGTTCATCCTAATTTTGTCACCTGTTGGCAAAATTTTACATTCTGCAACAATCCACCAAATCTGTCACACAAGAATTCTTTCAAACTAAAGCACTTCTCCTTTTTTCTAAATTTAAAAAAAAGCTAGTTTTTTAGTTATTTTAAAGACTTTAAATCTATGGTGGAGAAAACCTTTTTTACGTAATGAAATAGTTCTCTTTTAAAAAACGTTTAAAAGAAAACTATTTCTTTTTGTTAAAAAACGGAAAGAAGAATTTATTTCTTAAAGTAAAAATATTGACATTGACGTTATTTCTAAATTATAAATTTAACCCGTTTGTTAACTTTTCCTTACAACTTTATTAACATGAGTGCTGCCTAAAATTTTTTTTTAACTTTTGTTTTTGATTTTTTTTCCATAATTAAACTTAAAAAAAAAAGTTACCATGATTTACAATTACTTAAGAAAAACTTAAAAGTGTATCATACAAAAACAGTTTTTAAAATTATCAAAATAGGATAGCACCACCTTAAGAAGATAAAGGCATTATTGCAGGCGCGGATTTAGAGGGGGGCACAGCCGGCTCGTGGCCCCCCCCCCCCCTTAAAATTTGGTTAATTTTTTATTTATAATTATGTCGATCCATTCTCAGGTCAGATATTCACTAGATGTGATGAAGAACAGTATGAACAAGTGTTAACAAATTAAAACCCAACCGATGGGACCATTATATGGATGTCTAAAAGGGAGCTCATTTGCATGAAGCATGCAAATGAACCAATGCAAAGGCCTATCGAGTTTCATCTCAAGTAAACGGATGACACCTCCCAACGCACCAGTGTTGACATTCGTGCCATCACAACCGACAGCTACTAAATTGTCTAGTGAAATTCCATTCGAATCACAGAAATCTACTATGCCATATGCTATCTTAACTGATGTTCCATTTTCAGGGCTTATGTGACCGACATATATTGAATGGGGCTCTTGAGTTAGTGTAACATGTTCTTCTGTAACTATTTTGTAATAATACTTGGAACCTTTCTTGAGTTGCATTTTTGTTTTGTCCTTCCTACCATCGAAGTACAAACCTGTTAGATTAGAGGCAAGGTGGGATTGAAGTTCATTTCTAATCTTCTGTCTTTCTCTTCGAATTTAACTTCTATCAATAACCATTGTACTGTCACAGTCATTCACGATACCAACGTCTTGCAACACGGCACTAGCAATGGCTGCAGCAGCACGATCTGAAGTGCTATGGCGATCACATTCCTTTGAGATATTTGGAATGTTTGCTCTCATCTGTTTTTTCTCTGCTGTTCCAGTAGTTGGAACCTTATGTATTGAGGGAAAATGGACATCAGTATCGTTGTCAGTTTCAGTATCAAAAGACGAACTGAATTCAACAATATTTGAAGACAATAGGGAGTTAGATGTAGTGGCTGTTGTTGGAGTTTTGTAAATATTGGAAAGTTTTCTTTTGCGATTATCGCGTTCTTTCAATCGATTTGTAACAACTTTATCTATACTTCCAATCATCATATTTCTTGTACTTCTTTGATCTTCCAAAAATGGTCTTTCTGCAACTGGTACCTTAAAACTTTTCTTACAATTGCAGTGATTTATGTCCAAGCATTTGCAGACTGCGATGTCAAACAACTGGGAATTAGCTTCTGTACAAAACTTTTGCATCTTTGCTTGATAGTTAGGATCATTTTGTCGCCTCTTTAAGGGCTTGAGCATATTTCGATGTTTGTCATGAAGTTCTTTTATCTTCGCTACATCCCGCTTGTGTGTTATAATTGGAATCGATGCTTTGTGCCACAATGCTTCGACTTTCGATGAAACACAAGTTGAAACTTCAGCAACTGAAGGGATCTCTGCAGATCTATATGTCATTTCTTCTTTAAGGAACAAGTAATATTTCATCACATCAGCATTTGTGGGAAGAACGGTCTCTGGTAAATATGAAGGATTTCCAAAAATTGGGCAATTGGTACGCAGGCGTGTCTTGTGCTTCTTACACCCACTAACACCAGCTATTCTTGTTATTTTTGTTCGGACGTCACTCACAGATGCGAGGTTGTTTGAATTTTCTAATCTAAAATAATTTTCTAATCTAAAATAATAATATAAAAATAAAATAATTAATTTCTAACATAATAATTCAAACAAAATAATGTAAATACTGAAATTTGTAAATATAGGAAATTATTAACTTTTTCTCCGAAAACTACAAAATGCACGAAAAACGCCAATTTTTGAGTGCTTTGGAACAGACCTAAGAATTAACCTAGGGCAAAATGCTTTTACCACAGTTTACCTTGTACTAAATGGCAACTTTTGCATACCCAGCCAACTTGAATTTGCAATGATAGGAAATTATTATTTTTTAAGCCAAAAATGCCGAAATTAACGAAATATTCAAATTTTCAAGTGCTTTGGGGCAGACCTAAATATTAATCTAGAGCAAAATGCTTTTACCACAGTTCATTTAGTACCCAAAGGCAACTTTTCCATACCCAGCTCAAATGAATTTCCAAAAAAAGGTTTTTTCACTCCACCCTATTATTGAATATTATTTGCAAATCGTCTATTTTTAAATTATCATTAACGTACCTATTTGCGTCAACGTATAAAGATTAGGCGTTTAAGTCTTAATGTCGTTTTCTTAATGTTTACAAAACAAAAGGTTACAAGCATAGTGACTATGCTTGTAACCTTATGTTTCGTAAGTTTTGTTTTGCTTTGTTTTGTGTCTACAGTATTCCTGAAGCATTTCAATGCGGTTGAAACTTGAACAGATGGAAGTTGAACTTCCATCTGTTTTATACTTTCCAGGACTTTAAACGCATTGCTATAGATCAGAGGCACCGCTAATTACTGAAATTCTATGCGGTTTGGAGTTCTTAGCGTCATTTTTTGAAATAATTTTTCAAAATAAATCGACATTTTACTGACATTTTTGGATCATCAAAAAACAAAAAAAGAACAACCTTAAAATTAAATCGTTTTTGTCTGACGACTTTGTTTTGATATTTTTGGTATTTAATTTTTTTTTCAATTAATGTTCTAATATCATATAACTAAAAAACTTTTTGTTATATTATTTAGGAGTTAAAAATTACTCTATTCATTTAATTCCCCTCCTATAAGAAAACAGTAAAATATATTAATCACAATACTTTGCATAATTAAGTTTTTTTGTATTTAATAAGATAGATGAGACAGTTGTCATTTTGACGTATAACTAACTATATAAAAGTATTTATACGTGGGGCAAATGTGTTTGATTATTTGGCTATAATTATTTATAATATCTTGGCTTTTAAACAAAGAGTTAAACGTCCTTCTATCAAAACGTGAATACGGACTTTAGCAACACTTAAATTTTGTTGGAGTGTCAAAATTCGGCACTCCGACCTAATACACGGTTGTTTTTTTTAGAGGTCGATAAACGACGACACAGTCGTTTTGTTTACAATTTCGCTGTTACAATTTTGTTCAGTCCTATGATTAAAATTACATTAAAATTATAAGAAAAATAAATTGATGTTAGTTATGGCGTCTTCTGTTTCAAGGATGTTGCATTGGCATGCAGTATATAAGATTTCAACTGTTTCTAGTCCTACTCATGAACTTAGCAGGCAAAAAAAAAAAATTACTTTTTTATTTTATATAATCGTCTTTTATAATAGACTCTAGATAAATAATTTTATTTTTTTTAAATAAATACTTTTTTGAATAGTGAAAATGATGGTTATGAAATGGTACAAAATAAATTTTCTACAAACAAGAGGTATTTCAATAAGTTGTTTAACTTTACAATTTTTTTAACAAATATATTAGTATTATATTAATATTGTTAACACAATATTATGAAATATCTACTATTTTTTAAATTATTAACTATTATTTGATTTACGATGCTTAATCAGAGATGTCATCTTTTTCAAAGCTGTAACAGGCTTTTAAAAAAATGCTTTTAAGGTTTAATATCTACTGATATACTTATTTTTAAAAACTTAAAGCTCACAGTAATCAATAATTTAAATTATTTGATGCAAAGGACTTTTCATTAATTGTGTCAACAAAATAAGGGAATGTTTTTTTTTCTATTTTAATTTTAGGGAAAATTATATGTTAACATAATTTTATAGGGAAAGTCAATAAGTCGTGGGGAGGGAATTTGATAAGTAATGAAGGGGAGGTATAAATCCCCCAAAATTTGTTGACATAATTAATGGTAGCCCCAACTTAAAAGTAGTAATCTGGAATTTTTTAAAATAAAAAACTTAAGACGAAAAAAAAAAACAAAAAACAAAAAAACAATTCTCTAATTTGAACAATTTTGTTAAAAAAAAAAAACTATAATTCTAAAAGAATTAAAAAAAAAAAAAAAATATTCAGCTTTAAAGTTTACTTAGAACCTTAAAATTAACTTTTTAACAAAAGTTTTTAAATGTTTAATCCAACTTTATATAATATTAGGTATATAGATTTTAATTTTTAAATTAATTAAATACTAGATAGTTGTATATCATTCGAAAGATTATTAAGTATTTTAAGAGCACTTTAGTTGAAAATTTTTGAGGGTTTAGTAACATATTTTTGATTTATTGCTTTATTAAAAAAATTATGGTCAATGTTTAGTTTTTATTTTTATATAAATAACTTATATTATATTTATAACTTTATCAATTCTTATATATATCTTATTTATATTGGCTTTTAAAGAATTTTTCGATTTTTTAAAAAAAATATACTGAAATTTTATTCCAGATCACAAGCAAATATGATAATTATGTCATAGAGTTGTATACAGATGTGATTTAACTCTCCTTAGTATCAAAAGTGCTTAGTACCAAAAATTCTTATAAATAAATTTATCTTTATCAAAATGAGTCAAATTAGTATAGAATTTATACAATACATACTATAAAAATTATGTTTCACAAGAAGTACATCTGAATTATGTTTTCAACCTTGTTTGAAAAATACCACCTTTACCACCTGTATCTTTATTCAATATGATCAAAAGTAGCATTCTCAGCTTTCATTAAAATTTTAAAAACATTACAAACTGCATGAATTAGAAATTCTTTTTTTGAAGGATTTGGTAATTTTACTAAAAGCCTAATTAAAGAAAGCAACAGAAGATCAATTTCATTTAATATCAGTTTAATATCATAAATGATATAATTTCATTATATGTCAAAATATGTTTATTATCATATAATGAAATATATAATTTCATTATATGTTAATAAAAAGTTTATTATGCTATTATAAAAGGCAAATAAACAAAACCATGTTAAAAACTAAAGACATAAAACTAGGCTTTTTTTATGTTGGTAATTTTATTTTTAATATAAATCACAGATTTTTGAAAAATTAAACAAACAAAATACACTTAAAGAGTCTGAGTGAAAGTTTAATTGAGGTACTTTGAAAAGTTCTCTAGTTTGGGAAATTATTTGGTGTAATTAGTGTAAATAATTGTATTATATATAAACTATTATCTTAAAGCTGTCTTTTAGAGGTTCTTTATTATACAATTCTTTTTCTCTGAATTACGTTAAGAGTTCATGGAAATTCACTGGAAAAACATCATACTTTCTAAAACTCGATTGTAAAGTGATAGCCTATTTTGGTTCTACAGCAATCAATAACTTATTTAAAAGTTCAGGAAAATGTTGTTTGTCAAGAGATGTCTTTGCCCACGCAGCAGGAGAATCTTTGTAATCTTTTGTGTCAGTTTTATGCCAAGTTGTTTTTAATTGGCATGCAAGCAAACCTTATTTCATTTTCTTCATAGACATTAATTATTTTATTAGAGATATGAAAGGATCATCATCTAAAGGATCATCATCTAAAAAAGAATTTCTGATTTCTTTTTTAAAGAAAGTAAACAATTGGAAAAAAACACTCTTCAAAAACTACTCCATCAAACTAATCACTTTTATTGAAGTATCTGATTTCTTTAGGAGTCAGATACTTCAATAATAATCCTACAAATCAAGTTAACCACAGATTTCTAGTCTTATAAAATACAAAGGTAAAGTTTTAACTGCTGCATTACCAGATATCATAATAGAAATACTTGTTTTAGAATACTTGCTTCACTTCTAAAATTTCTTCATTATTTATTGCTCAAGATTTTTTAATGGTTTGCACAAATTTCTTTGTAAGCTTTGGATGTAGCGGTAGGATTCAGCCAGTTAGCACCGGTTCAGTAAATTACTTCTGTTTGATTTAGAATGTTGTGTATTTATTATTATTATATAAAAATATATCAATTGTGATTTCCAGTTTGTAGATAGTGAAAATTATTCATAAAACTACAGTAATGTATTGGTTGATTTTGTTTTTGCATGGCTTGTACTAAAGATATTTTCATTTTTTCTTGGAAGTTTAACCATTAAGTAATAAATTTTGATCTTTTTGTTTTAGATAGCATCAAGCACAATTTTAAAATTTTTTGATTATTTATAGAGTTATGATAATAATGAATTTTGCCTGGCCTACCCACTATGGCCTGGCCTACCGACTATTGCCACTACCCACTATATACCCACAAGTGGCCTACCCAATTATAGAGTTATGATAATTGTGGGATTTGCCTGGCCTACCCACTGATTATTTAAATAAATGTCAATAGTATTAATTCAATTTTGTTTAAAGAAAAATTCAATTTCACATTTGATTTTGATATATTAAGTTAAACATGTCATTAGTTGAACAAGAACATTATGAAAAAGTTTTAAAAACAATTTCATGTTTGTGTGTTTGATCTGTTTACTTAAACAAATTTTTTTTTTATTATTTATTTATTATTTCAATTTATTTGCATTTAAAGGGATCCCTTAGTGCTCCTAACATATGATCTCATATGAAAGAGCATAAAAAAAATATGTAGGTTTTTTTTCTTTTTCACTAAATTGTAATAATAAATGCATGCTAACAAAACCAATTGCCGAAATCACTGAAAAACAACTCCATTTTGATTTTATTTTTTTACCATTGAAACTCGATTGTTAGTCGTTAAAAATCACATTAGTACGTCACAACAACTTTAGAATATCTACTTCGATTTTCAAGTAAAAAAAAAATAGGGATTAAATAGTTAAGTTTTAATCAAATTTTTTAAATTAGTTTTGCAAAAACAGTATAATAGAATTCGGTTGAAAGACGTTGTTAAAAAAAAGTTATTAAGTAATAGCTTTAAATAGTTTAGAACTTATAAAAAAGTCTTACAGGGCTTGTATTAAGCGTACTGCGATCGTGATTGCTTTTACACTTTCTCGATTAGTTTTTTCTTAAAAAAAATCTTTTTGTGATTTGTTTTTTTTTTGGTTGTTTAATTACTTTTTTTCTAGCTTAGTATTTTTTTTTAGCAATTCTTAAAAGTAACGTTTTTATCATAAAGAACGTCACACAAAATTTATTATTCTGAATAGATAGATGAATAGATGATTTGCTCTTTCGCGCTGAGATTTTCTTTCAACGTAAAACATTTTTGAATTTAAATTACTTTAAATCTCTGTGTGGAAAATTTTTAAAAGGTCATTAAAGCGAAAAGTTGAAAAAGAAAAGATCTTAATTCAAATTTTTTCTTCATTCTAACAAAACAACCTGGTTTTTATCTTTGTTTATAAAAATTTCATTTTTAAAATAAGGCTTAAAAACATTAGAGCAAAAAAATTGCTGACTTTTATTTGCATTTTTATACTGTTTGAAAAAAAAACTAATAAAAAAGAATTAATTATTATTATTAATTCTAATAATTATTAATTAATATATTATTAGTTAATTCTTTTTTATTAGTTTTTTTTTCATACAGTATAAAAATGCTAATAAAAACCAGCAATTTTTTTTTTCAACAGTATAAAAATGCTAATAAAAACTAGCAATTTTTTTACTTCAACGTTTTTAAGCCTTATTTTAAACGTGAAGTATAATTTGATTTATTAAACCAAATTTTTTTGTTACACTTTTTATTGGAAAACAATTGAATTAGAGAAATTGAATAAAAACATCAACTTAAAAACCATTTAAATGAAAAACTTAATTATATTTAAACTTTTATTAGTTCTTTATTCAAGAAACAATAAATTATAAAAAATGTGGTATCTAATTTTTTATTAAGTTTTTGACAAAGTTTTTTGATTCATTGACAATAATTTTTTAATTTAATAATTAAAACAATTTCATTTATTTGCTTCGTTTTATTTTAAACGCATTTTATGTTATTAAATTGTATAAAACAGCAACAAAATAGCGTCACGAAATTGTTTTACATTAACACAAGCTATTTTTTCACGAATTTTTGGTGAAGGATGTTGAAATTTTTTTGAATTTTGTACCATGTTTGCGTCTCCTTAAAAAAAAAGCAAAAAACAAGGGCCTCAATTTCTATGATATTTTCAAAACTTTCAGATTCTGGGAGGAGGGGGGGGGGGAATGCATACCCCATCCTCCCCCTGGATCCGTCACTGAAATATAGTAATGTTTACTTTTTACTATATTTTTTGCTTTTTACTGAAATATAGTAATGTTATTTTTTCACTTTTACTTTTTTAAGTATTATGTTAATTAAAAACAATTAATTAATAGTATTAAATACGTTACTTGCTCATTACACTGTAACTGCAACTTAAACTTTAAATTTTAAATTAAGCTGTAAATTATAACAGTAACTTACACTATTTTAAACTCCGCCAAACAAGAAAATCATAAGATAACATTTAAATATGAGAGATATGTTAAAAGATAACAATTACGTGCTAAAGAGACAATTTTATACTAACGCAACCCCCTCCCCCCATTACCACACATCGGCGTGAGCTATAAGAGAGAGGGGGAAGAGAAAATTTTTTTTCTTTTTTCGCTATTAGATTTTTTTGCATTAATTCGAGCCCTGTCTTAGTTTAATTTCTAATAAAATGTCTATTCAACTTTATCAATTTGAACCAAAAAAATATAGCAAAATTAACATAAATGTTAATTTAACTAAAACATTTTACAATAATTATTTTTTTTATCAAGCGAAAATGAGAATAACCGTCACTTTCGAAACCATAAAAATGACTGAAATAAATTTATTTTTGTACTAAGGAAATATTTTAAATAAACTTTCATGTGTCTACATCAATATTCATTTGTTAAAAACTGACTAAAAAGAGTTTAAAATTTGACTTTTATTCATTTTTGGCTGTGGAATTGCCCTTATAATACAAATATATAAATAAAAATTATAAAATTTTTTATATACAAATATATTTTTGCAAAATGCTACAAAACTTATTCTTGTAAGTAATTATGTGTCAGTTAAAAAAACAACAACTTTACTTTTAAATTTAATTACCAACTAATACGTTTGCAATAATGACATTTTGTCTATTTTGTTTAATTTGACATACAAACGTTAGTTTTTTGAGGCAATTCAGTCAATAAACTTTGGACAAGACACATTTTTTTTAATTGAAGAAAAGCGTTTTTTTGAAAATTAAATTTGTTAGTGTGTGTTCATTATTACGTTTTAGATAAAATAATATACATCAAACATTTTTTTTTTAATGCTCTTTCATATAAAGTCATATCTTTATAGCACTTAGGGATCCCTTTAAAGAAAAATACTAAAAGGTATTTACTACAGGTGTTTAGAAATACACTAGTAATACTACAGGTATTACTAGTGTATTATATTTGGAAATATCTACTACAGATATTTGGAAATTACTCTTATGTAACACCAAGTTTAAAACAGTAAACAGTGACGTATATCTTTTAAGAGATACGGATTCCACACAGGGGTACATGACTCTAAAATTGGTTGAATATAAACTCTTATCAAAGGTTGGGAATCATTACTAATGAAAGACTTAAAAGTAAGTAAGCACAAGAACTTGCTTTGCTAGCAATGTGAGAACAGTGTTTAGAAATTTTCATATCAGAAGAAATAAATATCCCAATATCTTGAATTGAATCAATTGATTCAATAGGCATGTTGATATCCAATAAGTATGAATGTTCTGATAATAGATTCTTCCCGTATCGCAAGTGAAAACATTTTTTGGTAGATATATTGAGTTAACAATTATTTGACCATTCTGAAGTTCTCTTTAAAGTATTTACAAGGTTTATATTATTTCCATCTTTTCTTGCTTGATAAAACTGCAAAAAGCTTGATTCCACAATCCCCCTCAATACATGAGTTTATATTGTTTATAAAAATTAAAAATAAAATGGGTCCCAAAACAGTTCCTTGAGATATTCCGCTTTTTACATGAATGCTGTTTGAGTATGAATCATTAATACAAACACATTGAGAATGATTTGTCAAGAAGTTTGTAACCCAATTTAGCAACTCATACTTGATACCGTAACAATGCAGTTTAAATAGTAACTTAGAGTGAGACACAGTATCGAAGGCTTTCTCAAAGTCTATATAGATGATATCAACTATCGTTTTATTATTAATAGCAGTGGTCCACTCATTTATTGTTGTCAACATCTGTGTACATGAGAATCTATGTTTTAAGAAACCGTGCTGATGTGCAGAAATGAAATTATTCAGCATTAAATAACTTGTAATGCTTTCCGTGATAATTGATTCTATAATTTTACAGACAATACATAGAAGTAGGTCTATAATTTGGGTATAATGATGGGTTTTCTTTTTTAAATATTGGGCATATTATTTCGGTTTTCCAAATCCTAGGGATAACATTTTTGGACATTGACATTTTAAACAGAATAGAAAAAGGAATAACAATAACATTTGCAATTGACTTTAAAAATATGGCAGGACATCCATTATGGGATTTAGAAGATTCGGGTGGAAGCTTTTCTAGATGAGAAACAACAGAATTGTACAAAAATATAATATTATTTATAGAATTTTCGTGTTTTGGTAAATCTAAAACTAATGCAATACCATTGTCAGTAACAAAAACAGAACCAAAAAAATTGTTCAAAAGTTGCAATTTTTCACAATCTGTAATAAGGGAACCATTAGTTTGAAGTAATGGTGCAACAGAATTATAGCATTTGGATTTTTTATTTACGAAAGAGTAAAACTTGGCGATATTGGATTTAATAACTAAATCTTTCTCTCTGGAAATGCAATTTTTTTGAACTTCTGCATCATATAAATGAAGTAACATTTTTATTATTTTTGTTAAAAATTACCATTTTGTTAAAAAAATGTCTCAAGTTTAATAATTGAAAGCAATTAAACAACAAATATACAGTTTGTATAATTTTAAAAAAATATTAATTCACTTCAAAGCCAAGAAGGCCATACAGTCGAGGAGACTAATTGTGGTTATGACCCTCTCTCAACGCTATAACTCGAAAACATGAACCTTGACAAACAAGGCTACTGCGCCTTTGCCAAGTATTGTGTTTTATTTATATACACACACATATATAAGTGTATATATATATATATATATATATATATATATATATATATATCAGTGCTCGAAATAGCAGTCAATCAACAATCAAAGATCATCTACTTTTGGAAAAATTGACATTTTGATCATCTAAAATTAAATCTGGCTGATCAAATTTGATCGGCAGAAGTTGCTAGTCAAACTTTTGTAATAAATAATACAAAAACATTTTAAATACAGAAAGTTAAAATTTAATTAGCATCAAAGTTATTTTGAAATGAGTTATTATCTAAATAAAATAATGTAGGTAAAAACAGCAAAACAAACAATTTGTTTAAATTCTGGATAAAATAATTAAAAAAAAACGGCAAAGTTTTATTATAATTCTAAATAAAATGAAAATGACAAAACAAATCAATTGTTTATTTTCTATAATAAAATAAAATAAAAATGGGACATCAAAAATTAATTTATATTTTAAATAAAATAATTAGTATTAAAACGGAAAAATAAACATTATATTTATATTCTAAATGAAATATGTATAAAAAAAAAAAACGACAAAGTTTTATTTTGATTCAAAATAAAATAATTAAAACAAAAACAGCAAAAGATTGTTTTTTTAAATTTTAAATAAAATTTAAACAAACATTTGCTTAAATTCTGAATTAAATAACAAAAATAAATATGGCAAAACTAATGTTAATTTAAATTTCAAACAAAATAATTAAAATAAAAATGGTAATGTTTTATTTTTACTCAAATTAAAACAATTTAAAAGAAATATGGCAAAACAGACGATATATATAAATTCTAAATAAAATAATTAAAATAAAAACAGCAATGTTTCATATATACTCAAAATAATACAAAAAGAAAAACAGCAAAACCAACGGTATACTTAAATTATAAATAAAAGTAATAAGTTCAAAACAGCAAAACGAACGATTTACTTAAATTATAAATAAAATAAATAAAATTATAATTAATTAAAAGGATTAGGATTCTATAGCAGAATTTTCACTAGTAATTTAAAATGAACTGTAAAAAAAGTTTGTTTTTATTTTAATTCTTCTTTAAGTTCTATTTAGCAATCAGTTTTTAATTTTTTGTTTAACCTAAAACTTATCAATTTTTATTTTTAGATTGTCATTATTAATGAGTAATATGAAGCCTGAAGATGAGACTTCACTTAGATCTATACTTCTGAATAAGTTGAATAAATTTGAAACATTATCTACAGGAAGTGAAGTCATTTCAGTTGATTCTTTTTTGAATCAGAAGCCTAGTCAAATTTACTATAACACAATTTTTCACACATTAAGGTTAATTTTTAGTTATTTTATTATTCAGTGTTTCTAATATTTTTTATTACTTTTTACATTTTTTTTTTACTCCAGTAATGCTATTGATTTTCAAGTTCCATTAAATTGCTTTTTTTTGGTGAGTTTTATGGTTGAAACTGAATCTGGTTTTGAACTGTATCTTTTTGTTATTTGTGTATATTTAATGATGCGATTTGCATCTATTTGTCAACTAGACATTTATAAATATTACTATTATTGTTGTTATTATTATTATTATTATTGTTATTATTGCTATTATTATTATTATTATTATTATTACCCGTAAAATACGGGTCCTTACCGAACCGACCATTTTTATACTTATCTATAGCTATCCGGACGTAAACTAAGGGTCTTAGTAAATCTATTCCACACCGACCTTTTCTATACTTATTCCTTACCTCAATATTTTTTTAAAACCGTTTAAAAATGTACATATAAAAAACTATACTTACTTTTTGATATGACAAAAACATTTCTGTTAAAATGTTCTTTTAAAAACTTCAAACGATTTTAATATTATGCCGATTATAAAAATTTTAATAAGAAAAAACGTAAAAAAGACTATGAACTTAGAAAAATGCTAAAACATTCAACACGTGACGCCGTTAAAGTACGCCTTAGTTAACGTTCATAACATATACACATCTAATTAGATTTTATTTAAATTCAGTTGTTGCAAACTTGGTTTTGAATTTTTAATTACACTTCTTATGCGTCATAAATAATCTTAAATTCTAAATAGAAAATACGTTTATGGGCTAATTGGTAGACGCGCAACACTTAGACAGATATAGTCATCTCACCCCGGGAGTTCATACTCCAGTGACCTTTTTTTTTCATCCCAACTTACAACAAAAGTAATTAAAAATAAATGTTATTATTGAAACAGTTTTAAACATTTCTTCCTATTTATCTTTGAAATTAACTTTATTCACTGCAAACATACTTTTGGTGTTTGTAAGCGTTATTTTACGTTTAGTATTTGTAGGAATTATTTGCACGCACGTATTTTAAACAATTATTTTTACTGTTTCATCTAAAAATCTTATTTAATTTAGTTTAATAATTTCTTATATATAATATATATAATATAATTTAAAATATTTTATTAACCCTATTTAAATAAGTATCAAAACTCTTTCCTTTAATTTAAAAAGAATTTAAAATTAACGTAGGCTATAACGATATTTTACTCTTTCATCAACATTTATTTAAAAAGTAAATTTGGATATAGAAAAACGGGTTAAAGACTTATTATTTTAAATAAGTTAGCTTTATCTATTTAATGCTTTTCGTAAAAGCGTTTCTTTAAAGACTCTTAACAAATCATTCAAGCTGTTTTTACTGCCTAAGTTATTAAACCTATTGTGTGTGCCAAAAATCGATACTTAATGCAAATGGAAACTTCGAGTGCTAATGGTGATTAAAGCATAAATGGTTCCTATTCATATATAATAAAAGGAAATATAAAAGACAAAGCAAAAATGATTTTTATATCCATTTAAAACAATAAATCCCGAAATAAAAAAATATAGATATTTACTTAAAAACATATTTTTCTTGATATAAAATAAAAATATAACCTTTAGTACAAATTACAAAAAAAAATTTTATTCAACAGAGCTACTTATAATACATTTTAAATTTAATCATTGTTTCATAAATATTAAGCTTTAGGTAAGCCATAATCAAGTCAGCTATAAAAAACGGAACTAAAAATGGAACAAAGTTATTTAAACGCATAATCATACACATTAGTTACAAATTAACATGTCATGCAATCAATACTTTTGAAAACTCAAAAATGCGAATAAGAAACTTACTTTTTTATTTTTACATAACCCTGACAGACCAACATGAATGTGAGCTAAATCTATTTGCATAAAACATCACAACAATTAATTAAATAGCAGAACCACCTTCAAAGGACAAAAAAATTAGTTTTTTAAGGAAAATTAGAGTTATTGGGAGGGGAGGTATTAATAAATAAAAAAGCTCAACTTGAATTTCAAAATTAGTTCATAGTTTTGTTGAGGGTTATTGAGTTATTCTGAGTTTATTATACATATTTTAAACTACTAACACCACACTTATATTCTTAGTTCTAGAAGGTGCTACATAGAATTTGATTGTGTGAAAACCAAATCCCTTTGAGATTAACATTAACTTTATCAAATGTATGACCGTGACTTTTATTTCTAGTTAATGAGCATTGTTGATAAAGGTGTCTTTATTTAAATGATTTACTTTGATAACATTTAACATTCATGGGAAAAATTAAAAAACAACACAAAAATAAATTTACAAAAATATATTACAAAAAAAAAATTACAAAAAAAAAATGAAGTGGCTCAAAAGTTGTCAATTTCTTTACATTTTAAAATGTAAAAAAATTATTGACAACTTTTGAGCCACGTTGTCTTCTCCTCCCAGCATCCGCTCTATTCCCCGTGTTGTATGGGGTGCCATCCCTCCATCTAAAGGAGGGATGGTTGTCCCCATACAAACACCAGCGATGGAAGGCCCTCATAGATAGAGGGCCTGGATGCTGGGAGCGATACTTTTGGAAATCTTCCCATGACTTCGAGCCTGAAAAAAAAATAATATATAAATACAACTATCTACCTAGGTAATACTTACAAAAAATCTACTGTAAAAAAACAATAAAAGCAAATAATGTAATAAATTAAGTACAAGTGAGCACAACAACTTATTTATTTTACTCACTAATACTTGACTTATTACATTAACTAATTAAACTAGAAAGCACATTTGTAGCTATATTAAAAAACAAAAGCTACAATAAAAGCAATCAATCAATGTAATAAGTCAAGTAAAGGTGAATATAACAACTTACTTGTAACAGAAGAAGCAGCAGGTAGAGATAAATAAAAGAAAGTTAAAAATGCAATAAAACCAATCAATCCATAAATTAAGTCAAGTATAAGTGAATAGAACAACTTACTTGTAGCAGAAGAAGCAGCAGCTAGAGATAAATAAAAGAAAATTAAAAATGCAATAAAAACAATCAATCAATGTAATAAGTTAAGTAAAAGTGACTTACTTATAACAGAAGAAGCAGCAGCTAGAGATAAATAAAAAAAAATTAAAAATGCAATAAAACCAATTAATCAATAAATTAAGGTAAGTATAAGTGAATAGAACAACTTACTTGTAGCAGAAGAAGCAACAACTAGACATAAATAAAAGAAAATTAAAAATGCAATAAAAACAATCAATCAATGTAATAAGTCAAGTCTAAGTGAGTACAACAACATACGTTACTGAGGAAGTTGGATTTGTCACTATATAAGTGATTACATTATATTATTTATTAAAACTTTCATGAGACATAAAACATAATATAGTTACTTACAAATGTAGTTTAAAATGATATCTAAAAAAAATGACCAAAAAGTACAAAGTCCAAAACTAATCTCAAATTGAAAAAACGCATTTAATATTAGATGTACATAAATAATTAGGGTGTATAATAAACATAAAAGCAATTTTACTCACCTATGGACTTTTGTAAATCTTCTAATTTTTCTAAATAGATGAACAAATTACTAAAGCCAACCTCATTATTTTTTATTTAATATACATAAAAGTAATATAATGAAATTTTGCTTACTAACTCTACTTTCTAAATTTTCTAAATAAACAAAATGTATGAAAGATTAGTTCATAAATTTATTTACTGTAACATAAACTTCGAAAAAACTGAAGTAAAAAAAGAAAAAATAGAAAATGCTAACTTTGATTATTGAAGAATTCTTTAAAATAAGGCAGAAGAGACTCTGTCTCTTCTGCCATTATCTCCTGCGCATCTAAGATATACACACAATACAATATATACATTTAGCATATCATATGATAAAGCACTACATCTACACCTTTTTAAGATGTAAATGAGAACATGAAAGTTGTAATTAAGAAGTCGTAATATGTAATTAAGAAACACAACATGTAATTGAGAAAACGTTATATGTAAGAAAACGTTATATTATTCTTGATTTACTTTTTTATTAAAGTTAGTTTTTTTATGGTAATCAGTCAATTAAAATATTTTTAAATGTCAATCAATGAATCAGTTAATAAATATGCTGGTAATATCAATACTTGTTCAACATCAGCAATCTACTTAGTCACAATAAATGTCAATGAGATTTTTATTATTATGAACAAAAACTAAAAATTATCATTAGTATAACTGTAATTTAGCCAATTCATGCAGAATAAATCCTGCCTGTATAGTGCTGGTTGAGTTTAAATTTTCAAAATTAAAAGTTTGTTATATGGCAATTGATAAACTCATTAACTAAAATCTTATAACATTTGTTGTTAGCCCTAAATTTAAATAAAATAAATTGTAAAACATGCTACTAAAGGATTAGCCATATAGTACGTACGCTCGGACAGGAAGAGGAGGTCTGCAAATGGCGTTTCTAAGATAAGGGGGCAGTAGGTCAATTATAAAAGTATGGATATGCTAAATTGAAAAAAATATCATAAATTGTTGGGTTGGTAGGTTAAAAGCTTAGGTACTTTTATGGCAAAATGTGTGTGTGTGGGGGGGAGGGGGTTTTGCAAAAAAAAAGCGTACATACTTTATGGACGACCCCTAACTCTAAACTCACGCTGGAAAAACAGTTTGGATTTCAAAATAGTTTTAAATTTAAATCTTAAATATTTTGTATGATTTTAAAACTAATTTTTTTATGAGCTTAACATGACAGTTTTCAAAAAGACCTTGATGATTACTGCAACTCATTATTGCTGTCTTTAGAAAAGTATATGGTAAGTAAAGGTTTTATATTTGAAATGCATAATTAAGTTAATGTTTGAAATAATGGTACATTAAATAACATTTGAATATAGTATTTGAATCAATATATTTATAAATTTAGGAATCAATTGATGTCAGTGAATATCTTACATTATTAGATGAATGGTATGATTCAAAGGTAGATATTTTTCTTTAAACATTTAAGTTATATTTATTTTCTATAATGCTATTCGCCATAGCTCTTAAAAGTATTTACTTTTTTTCATATTAATGTTTTTTTCTTTTTTTTAATATTTTAAAATTAATAAAATAAATCAGTGTAACTTTTTATAATCACAAGTTGAAAACTCATAAACATTTGTAACCTGCAATATAAATTTATGGTTAAAATTAAGGTTTTTCAATATATTTACTATATAATAAATGCTATCTGATTTTTAAATAGATACATTTATATCATATTTTTTTATTTTTGGTGTACAAGTATTCATGTGATTGTACTAAATTAGTGTGATTTGCAAAAATATGGTTGTCAAATTTAAAACTTTGTATAGATCATTTGCGTATCTTTAGAGAACATCACATGTTTTATTCATTAATATTTGTAATGAGTATTCTTTTTTAACGAACAAGTTGTTCATGAATACTAAAATAGCTTTGGGTTTTATCTCTCACATAGCCTTCGGGCTTTTTAAAGAAAATATGGTGGTTAACAGTATCAAAAGCTTTCAATAAATATGAATACTCAAACAGTATGAGTATTCTTTGTATCTTATGAGTATATTCAATATTAAATAAATCAACACTAGTTTGCATTTTTCAATTGAAATGTTTTATTTTCTATGTGCACCATCATTTTAAAGCTTTTTTGTTTCATTTTTTTTTTAAGTGATCTAATTTGGTCTTCATACTATATTAATTGCACTGGGTAAACTGTACTTCTGTGGGTTACACAGTTTTTTATGATAAATGTGATGGGATTTAAAATGCAAGTAATAAGATAAACTTACCTTATAAATTGCTGCAAGCATGATTTTGCAGTGGTATAACAAAATTGTCTTTAATAAAATTGAAATAAAGTAATGATTGAAACTATAGCGTTTTAATTATTTAGTCAGCGATAAAATCAAAGCGTCAAAGAAATAGTTCAATTAAAAAATAAATAGATTTATAAACCTTAAAAATAATTTTTAGTGATTTTTAATTAATAAAAAAAAATTTTATTTAGTGATTTTTAATTAATAAAACAAAAATGTCATAATAGTTGAAGATTTTGCACAGTTTATTATTATAAGTTTTTAAATTCATTATTCAAATCGTCATGTAAACATAAAAATCGTCATGTAAACATAAAAATTTAATCAGTTTCTGTTAGTTTTACTGTTTATTTTTTTTAAATAAAAACTGTTTTATTTAAGGAATCAAAGTGTTTTAATTTAGGAAACCAGATGTCTTGATTGGAACAAATAGTGCCTTGACAAAACCAAATTTATTTCTAATAACAACCAATTTAAGTCAAATTATGGTTAAAAGTATAGTAGGGTTGTTTGCTTGTACTAATCTTGTTAAGAAAGGTTTAGCAGTAAAAAAATACTTTTAAACACCATTTGTAAATTTTTTAATAAATGAGTAAAAAAAATCTTTTAAACAAAAGTGAATTTTTTGTTAAAGAAACAGGTTATTTAATATATATATATATATATATATATATATATATATATATATATATATATATATATATATATATATATATATATATATATATATATATATATATATATATATATATATATATATATATATATATATATATATATATATATGTATATATATATATATATATATATATATATATATATATATATATATATATATATTATATATATATATATATATATTTATATATATATATATATATATATATATATATATATATATATATATATATATATATATATATTAATTGAAAGACTTGAAATTAAATATGATTTTGAAAGTTAAAAATTTTAATTTTGAAAGATAGTAAAGTAGTTTTACAACATTTATTAAAGAAGAAATTTTTTTCTAACTAATTCATTATGTAAAACATAAGTCTCCTCATAAGTAAATAAAAAAATAGGGAGTCTGCAAATAGTGTATGGGGAGTATGTAGGAGATTTTGAATATAAAAGTACACATGCTAATTTATATAAAAATAGTCTTATTGATCAAGTTTGTTTTTCTAATTTATCAAAAGAAATACTTTTTAAATACCTGGTTACATAGATTAGTTATTTAGAAATATGAGAGGTTTTTAATAACATCACACAATTTGATTGGTCACACAATTTTAATAACAATTTTAGTAACAATATAATCACTTTATTTTTGGTTTGACTAGTTATGATCACAAACCTTAAGATAGTCAAAGTTTTACTAAGGTCACAGGTTTTTACATGTTACAAAATCACATCATTGGCAAAATCTGTAAAATATCTGTAAAATCACATCTTGTCTGTAATATAAGCAGAGTGAACTTTTTGATAAATATAAGAAAGTGTTGATTTTGTTACCAAATATGCATTCGTAACCTTCAACACTTGCATTCGTGACCATCAATACTTGCATTCGTGACCTTCAACACTTGCATTCATAACCATTAACATTTGTATTCGTAACTGTCAACACTTGCATTTGTGACCGTCAACACTAGCATTTACACTTTGCACTTGCAACCATACCTCAGGTAAAGCTATGGTTGGATATAGTAATTAATAACTACTTAGTTATTGGCAAAATTTTGCTAATGCTGCAGCTTGACAAATTTTTATTTTTTAAATTAACATCAATTGTCTTTCAAAATGCATTTAGATTTTTCCAAAAATGATCATGTGGGAAAACCAATCCTAGTAACTCCTGACTCAGTGGAGCCATACACCATTCAACACTGTTATATGTTGATTAGCGATGTGCACTTTGATACTTTTTGCACTTAAATGTTGAATGAGGTGAAACGTTGATGAGGTGAAACTATATACCTATTGTGAGCTGTATAGTTCTGATCAATTTTACAGAAACTGTTTTAATGTGGTGGTTTTCTTCAAATGTGTTTGATTGCTTAGGCAGCAGACTTAAAAATTGCAGATCTCGAAAGACAATAACCCAATTTTAGTAAACTTTTGTTTAAGTTATCAAACGTCTACATCTTTTTTATAAATATTGAGCAATGACTAAAAAATTATATTTAATTTGAAATGGGTTTTGCTTGTGTCTCTTTTTTTATGACTAGGCAACTCATTCTATTATCTTCAAATGAGGGTACAGCTCTAAAACTCAGTTTTATGCTTCTGAGGCCTGCTGGTAGTCAGGTTTCCCAAACTCTGTGGTAGCTCTCAGAGAGGCTGATTCCATCAACAGCTGAAAAATATCAAAGTACTAACAGTGCCATGTTGCATGGATGGTGTCCCTGTTTGTACTTTTGGTGTGCATTGCCAAGGCCACATTGGATCTAAAAATGAATAAAGTAACATAAACTATAAAACACAAAAAACCACAGTCATCACCAAGTTCGCTAAACCTATCATTCACTAATATTTGTGGTCTTTGAAGTAATTTTTCTTCTGTTGAATCTTATCTCTTGCAAAGTTCACCAGACCTACTTGCTCTTTGTGAAACTAATTTGAGTTCAGCTGTCTCATCTTGTGATCTTAGTGTTGATAGTTATCTTCCTTTAATTCGTAAAGACTCCAATAGTCACATACTTGGCCTGGGCATTTACATTCGTAAGAATTCATCCATTTGTCGGGAAACTAGGTTTGAATCCACAGACTATTCCTTTATGTGCTTTCGTTTAGCACCACTTCACTCTATCACCTTTCTCTTTGTTCTATATCGCTCTCCTTCATCTCAAGACAGCACTCTTCTTGATGTTATTTCTGATCATATTGACCAAGCCCTCTCTTTTTATCCATCAGCCAATATTGTTGTTGTCGGTGACTTCAATGTTCATCACACTGAATGGCTTGGCTCTAGTGTCAGTGACTCTGCAGGCATTAAGGCCCATAACTTTTGCCTCTCTCAATCCCTAACTCAAATAGTCAACTTTCCAACTCGCTTTCCAGATAACCCGAATCATTTACCTTCTCTATTTGACTTATGTCTTGTTTCTGATCCTAGTCAGTCCTCAGTTTCTCCACACTCACCCTTAGATGCTTCCGATCATGGTTTGGTCTCTCTTAAACTATTATCTCATTCTTCTTTACCATCAGAATCCCCCTATCATTGTACATCTTACAACTACCTTACAATGTACAACTACCTTACATTGTACAACTTACAACTATTAATAAATACATATATTCTCTATAATAATAAAGAAATTTTTATATATACAATCAAGGCCAAGAATAACCAACCAAATTTGTTTTCTTAATTTTTTTTCCAGAGAAATTAACTTTTCATGTTTTCTCTGTTTTTTATATTAAACTTGAGTTTCATATTAAATCTAAGTTTATTTTGTGATTATATTATATTCTTTTCATGGCTTTTTATGCTTTAATATTTCAATAAGATTTTTAATAAGATAGAAATAAAATCTGTATATAGACAGGGTTAAATTTAACTTCAGTTCTTTTAAATATTTTAAAATAAATGATTTAGTAATAAAAAACTCAAAAAGTGTTTCAAACAGTTATTTGAAAAATAACTGTATGAAACATACAACTTTATACTAACATACAACTTTATACAACTTTAAATCTTTCTGTATTTTTCTTTAACAGATTTATCAATTAACAAGTCAAAATCATAGAGCCATAGAGCCATAGAGCAAGAAGATGGAAAATTGTATTGATTATCGGACATTTAGTTATTTGACTCAAGATAGGGTGTTAGAAATTTGTTGATCAAAGACTCAAGATCTTGCTAATATTTCATTGGTCATTTCTTGACCAAGACTGTATTAGTATCTGGGCAAACAGATAAGGAACATTTAGAAAATGTTCAAAGGATTTTGCAAATTATGGAAAAAACAAGAATGAAGTTAAAGGACAGCAAATAGGTCAGGTCAGGTTTTCCTGCTACTGGTAACATGTAACCCAGTACAACCTGCTCCATGTCCTGCTGCCTTGTAGGATACGCTTTTTTAGGCAAAGGCTAGGAGAAGTTAACTCCGAATTAAAACACCCCCTGCCTTGGGGC